GATCTTCCCACCCCAGCTCAGCTGCCATGTAAGCATAAACCTTCTGCGGTGCCCAGCTTGTTGCTGCAAGGCTGATTTCCACGGGAATAAGTAGCTGGACAAATCGTGGGAGGAGCCTAAGGCCAACTCATGAGGCACACGACGTAAGCCCCAGAGAGGCAGCCTGCTGACTTGGTTTACCTTAAATGCAAGACATCATTCAGGGACCTCCTGTCCTTTCTAGCCAAGTGAGAAGGAGTTTCTCTCCCGTTCTCTCTTTAATTCACCTTTATTCTGCTGGACAGCTCATGTCACCACTATATACGACTTCCGGAAAAGGAGGCTTAATTTTTAAAGGGGCATGTAAGTTACCTTGCATAGTGGAACAAGCATTTTTATTACGTAGGAAAAGGGTTTTCCAGAGACCTTGGAGCCAGGAAGACAGAGTCACGCCTCTGAAAGCCGGGACCTCTGACTTGTCTTATCCAGACAGAGGCTTCTTACCTCCCCTTCCCCACTTACAATCAATGCCCAGAGCAGAGCTGGGCCCCAGAAGGGCCTTCTGATCCTCACATAAGAGAAACGAAGCCAGAACACAGCGCTACTGCACGGAGGGTGATTCAGCACCTGCCCTGTCATGCCTGGTGCCCAGGCTGAATGGATTTTGGGAGTACACCTGTTGTTGAACCCCTGCCAAGTACTGATGGCCACTAACCCCCAAATCACTTTTCCCCGCTGTTGATGTTTGGAATGTCAGACAGGACTGAGCAGCAGCCGGCGTGTATTTCAAACACAGCAGATGGATTTTTATATGAGCTCCTATTTCATGTTCAGGCAGGGCGACCGCCACACTAAAACCGCAGCCTCAGTGCTGCCGAGTGGCTTCTGTGAGATTAATTCTGTGAAATTAATTGGGACAAGATTGAAAAGGAAATTAAAATGCAGCTGAGTGAACAGGCCTTTCAAACACCTTTTTTCCTGCTCTATTCAAACTTGCATTCTGCCATGGTCTCGGGCATCGTGGGAAGTAATTTACGAGAGGCGGGCTCCCAGGAGCCATCGGTTACGTCTGAGGGAACCTGCACAAGCGCCACAATCTGGAGGCACTGAGGAGCGCTAGACACCCCGCTGCGGCCTGAGCTGCGCCCCTGCGCCGCGTGGAAGCTGAGCTCAGTCCCTGCGTCGTCGGAAAGAGCTCTTCAGAACTAACTGGGTCCAAAAGGAATGAGGGAACATCAGCATCGCTGGGTGCACAGATCTGCTTCGTTATTAAAATCTCCCTTTAATATATTTTAAGGCGCAAGTTGGAACTCAGTGAATTAAGGGCATGAGACGGCATGGGGCTGAGGACGGTATGGATGTGTTAGGGGTGGGTCAGCGGGAGTCCCGCTGACTAGGCCACCGGTCACTGTTTCAGAGCTTGGATTCATGGCTCTGGCCTCTCCTCAAAGGAGAAGTTTGGGCCGTTTTTGTCAGTGATGAAATCTCAGACCAGAAATGACATGGTGGATTTCCACGTAGGCCTCTTCACTTTTTAAATTTATTTCTAAGTGAGAACATTTTGTGCTTTTGAGCATCTCCATGAAGAGATCTTGGCTGGACAGGCTACCTTTTTTCCTCTCTCAATTCACCAATAGTTTATTGAACTGCTCGTTTGTATCCAACAGTGACCCAAAAAGTTTGTTAGTGGAAAAGGGGGGTTGATAGTGACCATTTCCTAGATGCCAGGCACTTCTTTACACACATTCTCCAATGTAAGCATCACAACACCCTATGAATAGGAATTAGCCCAATTTTTACAGATGGGGAGACTGAGGAGTAACCAGATTCAGTGACTTCGCTCAAGGTCACATAAGTAACCCATCTGCTACCGACTTGCTTCCCTAAGACTAGAACAGGTGACTGGGCATTTGGTTATCTATGGGGTACATCTTTCTTACCCAGCCAGTCTTCCTCTCTGGATTTTTAAAAAAAGAGTAAATAACTCTTTGGATCCTTCCTGCCCTAAGGCCCTAGGTCTTAACAACCTCCCCTGGCCCTGGGATTCTAGGATTCAAGGTTGGGTCATATGTGGGCAACTATTAAGAAACAGTAGGGGGCAGCATGACCCTAAGAATAAAGCTGTATCTCTCTCCCTCCCCCAAAACCCCCCTCACTTCCAACGCACTTCCCTATCCCGGGGCCATTTCTGTTATCCAACCATCCCCTTCAAAATATTTCTTTTATCCTATAAAGAGACGGGGGTGGGGAACCAGATACATTTATGATGGCCAAAAACAAAAGAGCTCATAATTGGAAATTTTTGTTCACTTAATCTGAATAAGTACATTTTTTTGTGTGTGTGTGGAATTTCTTTAGTAGTTTTGCAGTATCAGGTAATGTTTGAGGTGGAAGGAATCTTAGAGGTCATCCAACAGAACTCCCTCATTTTACAGGTCAGGAAACTGGTCTAGGTTAGCTGAGCTGCACCCGGTCTTTCTTGTCTTGCATTTCTCAGGGAAATAGGCTTATTCAGGTTCCTAAACAGCTGGCCTTTCTTGCCCGACACAGGTTCTATTGGCCAGAGAGAAAGTAAAATGGAGATTTCTAGAACTGTTTTTCTGGACTAACCTCAACTTGGGTCAATTTTGTTCCTCCTGGCTGCAGGCTGTAACTGACTCCCATAAAGGAAGCCAGCTGGAGCTAAAGTGGCATGAGTTCAGGATCCATATGGGAGAAAATTCCAGAGACAAGGGATTACCGAACACCTGAGTAGACAGACAGTTGGGAATGGTAGTGGAATCTCCTTTTCTATCTGTCTGAATCCGTTAATTTGGATTTCTTCGAGGCAAGGGAACGGATTGGGTGGCCTTTTAAGGTTCCTTCCTGTCCTAGGACTCTTATTGAGTTAGGTCATATAATAAAGGTAAATCCAATCCCAAAGGCTCCCCAAGCCAGTGTTAACGGGAATGAAGCTTTACGAGGGAAACTTCAGTGGAGCTTCTAGTTTCTCATTTCCTCCTCTGCCGTGCAGAAATTAGCAACATGGAGATAGAAGGGGGGCAGCTGGTGTGGCTTTTGGGGAAAGAAAGGTGCTACTACAATGGTAAGGGATGAAATGGACTCATGACCTTTCAAAGATGGAGAAGGAAGCCTGATTGAGCCAGGGCAGCAAGGTATTCTCACTGAATTGAATTATGGCAGATTAGCGTTTTTTAATGGAAGAAGGGAAGGAAGATTGGTTAAAAAGAATCACAGGTCGGGGAGGTTCCCAGGTTCTTTGGTATCTCTTAAAAACACAACAGCCATGGTGTAACTAACTACAGACAGCTTCTTACTGCTGGGCAAGTCACCACACAGCCACTTCTAAATGGAGGAAAGGGACCCCCAGTGAGAAGCCATTAACAAAGGCAAAAGACATGCAAAACAAACAAAATAATCATGACCGGGAGAGAGGGCCAGCAGACAGTCTGGCTCTGTTCTTCCACCTCCTGCTGCAGGCACCTCAGACAATGTAAACAGTTAATTTGTTCACCTGCAGGCTCTGGGCAAACAGAGGCCTGGTCACACCTGAGTGGATAACTCGATTACCCCTTTAATGCCAGCGTGGTAATGTACACAAATTCTATTACACGCACACCTCGCTTCCGGGCATCTGAAATACCTATCAGGGCAATGTCCACTCCCTTCTTTGCTCCCAATTTATTCCTGGTGTAGTAGAGCTGCACGGGAATGGCGCTAGGGTGGTGGTGAATTAGGACTCTGGAAGAAAACACTAGAAGATTGTGACCTCACTCAGCAGGGCTCTTGCAGGCCTCCTACTCTCTTGAAAAGAGTGAGGTCTGAATTTGGTCCTGGGTCCGAGGGGCCTCGTGGGAACCACTGAAAGGTACCTCGGGTCAGCCTGGTGTTTCCTAAGGAGCTTATGGTATATTTAAATTGAGACAAACCTTTAGATAAACAGAAAATGGTGGGTTAGTGACACAGTGGGTTTTCAATATTGCTTTATGGAATCCACATACTCATCAATTAAAGAGCAAATTGTGCCTATTTCAGAAATGTGTTTGTAGATCTTGATTGACCTCAGTGAGAGAGAGAGAGAGAGAGAGAGAGAGAGAGAACTTTGTAAACAACAACAATAAACATTTAAAAATTACTGATTTGAGAGAGAGAGAGAAACATCGACCGGGGATTAAACCCACAACCTGGGTGTGTGCTCTGAATCAAACCCACCACCTTTTGGTGTGCAGGATGACACTCCAACCAACTGAGCCACACTAGCCAGGGCAAGAGAAAGAACTTTTTAATAAGGTTTTTTTCCCCAGGGACCTAGTTCCTTAGTCCACCTATACAGAATGTGTAGTATTTCATTACAAAGATAATGCTACTGATGCCTCTGTAGCCCATCAGTTCTGAATCTCTTCCACATAGGTGATGGATCTATAATAATCTGTCCTTTTTTCTCCCCCAATTCTTTTATGATCAGCAACACCATTTGTGAGATGATTAGCTGGGGCTAGGGGTTAACTTTGTGACTGAGGAAGAGAATAAAGTTAGCTGGCCCTGGTGGGGTTTGATTCACTATCTTGGTCTTATCAGCACTTGCTCAAACCAATTGAGCTGGCTAGCTCTGACTCCTCCCTCCATACATAATTATATTACAGTCTTGTTTATCTATAAATGAAACAAGGCATCTGATCTAGCCAGAATGGTTTTAAGAGTATTATATGATAATAAATTATGTACATAGTGATGACCTTTTAAATATCACAAGACCCTAAAAAGATCAGATTTTGATTGGCATAGTTTTAGTATTATGTCTACCTTGTTGTATTTTTAAACTTGAAAATTGGTTCCTGGGTCTGAATTTTCAATTAAAATTTTCCCTAAGAGTTATAAATCAATGGGAATTTATGTGTGAGGCAGCCACGTGATACGTACAAGAGAAGTGTATGACACGGAATAATTCTGGTTATGGTGACTACACCATCAAGAGTGAAAAAATAAACTTTTGATCCAAGCCCCACACTCTGTGTCTTTACCTTGCTCAGAATGCGGATGAGGTCACCCCGCTGGAAGGACAGTTCGTCTGGCTGGTCACCATGGCAATCCCATAAGCCCTGGTAATAACTGGCATAGTCCACTGATCAAAGAGAGGAGAAATCAAAGTTAGAAAGACTCTGTCTTTTTCCATAGAGCCCACATTTTTGCTGCAAATGGAAACCAGGGTTCTATATTGCCCCTAGGAAACCCAAGATTCAGGGTGGCCGGGACGAGATACAGCTAAATACTCAGCATGAGCAAAGGACTGTGGGAGAGGGAGATCATTAACTAACATTAAATATTTACAGATCACCCTTAGTCGGATGCTGTTCAATAATATGATATATATATTCATTTATTAACAAAAGAAAACCAGGCAGGTAATTTTTCACTTGGCCTGTACGTAAGCAGCACCAAGAGATTTCCTGCTAGACTTTCTTGATCCAGGGCGTCTACACCATCAGTGCTTCTCTTCATTATGTGTTGGAAGGAATGGGGTAAGTCTCTGACTTCCTATTTACAAAAGAGGCTGAGTCAACTGACTTCCTATTTACAAGAGTCTCACATGTTGGCCCCCTTTGTTACAGAGGAACTTCATCCTGGACACTTCCCACCCAGGTACTATAGGAGGCAATCACCAATAAATACGGAAACAAATAGCTCCGTCTTTAAGTGGAACCAAGGGGGTGTCTCATCCATTACAACTAAATTCTGGGTGGGCTGGCCCTTTTCCAGCATCTCATTTGTAGATCCTGAACATGTCTGCCAAGATTTATCTGCAAGCCCTCGGGGGAACAGAAACCAAAGTGATCTGCATTAAAAATGAAAGCAACTCAAGACGACAAACCAAGCTTTAGAAGCAGCTGGAGAGATTTACTGAGCTTCTCAGCAAAACTAGATGGCAGTGATGCCACAGGACAGCCATCGATTCTTAACAATGAAGAATTTGTATTGATCTTCTTCTACCCGGAAAGGTTAAACACTAGAGTACAAAGTGGGAGAGGATCTGGGGGTTTGAATGGCAGGAGAGCGAATGCCCACTGGACCAGGGATAATGTGGCCACGCTCCCCCTTCCTTAGGATGCTGTGTATGAGAGCTTTAAGCAAAGCACCTACCAAAGGTGAAACTCCTATCATTGGGAGTCAGGAGTCCTAGGTTTTAATTAAAATTTAAGTGATTTTTGGGGACCCTATTTTTTTTTTTTTTACCAGTTTCCATCTTTCTCTTCATTTGCCTTGACCCTCCCTTGAGGAGTAATGGTGCTAGTTGCTGAGGGTGGGAATAGATGTGGGGCAGTGGGGGAACAGAGGCCCTGGCTATATTTCCCTTTTTTTCTGCTTGTTATTAACTTAGGAGCAATTCAAATAATAAAGGCACAGGGGAACAACATCCCTATATATGTCTCTGGAAAAGAACTATAATAGGAAGCTTAACGCACACAAAAACGGAGGTGGTACAGAGCTATTTAGTGAAGACTCAGATATTACAAACAGAAGTAAAAATGTTAACCATATAGAAACTCAGGCATGTTTTCTTTACACAGAAAATGGTTTGTATATGCAGTAGACAACAGAGGGCAGCAAACAAGACAACTAGGCTGGAAATATTCTGCCACAGTTCGGAATATTTTTGGAAGAAACAATACTTTGGGATGAAAATGCTAATTATTGAAAGAACAAGGTATATATTTCTTGGATATCAGTACATGAAATAATAGAGAAACATCAGTCCCTGGAAAGTGAAAGCAGTTGGAATGGAGTTGATTAATCACCCAGAGAGTTTGACTAAATTTAGGGATAAAAAGTATATGGACATCAATATAACATGGTAGAGAAAATTTATAAAAGTAGATTTTTAAAACAATGATATATCCAAATGGTAACACTGACAACATTATCTTGGCTTTTTCTGGCCTAACAGATGGTCATTGCAGGGTATTGCTCCCCACATGCCTGGATGTGGGATAGCGCCTAAGACTATGAGTGCCTTTTGGGTATATATGTAAAAAAAAAAAAAAATTGATATTGAGGATATAAGGCATCTGGGGAGAACACCTGAAAAAAGACCTATTCTAAAAGCATAATAGATGAGACAGAGAAAGGAAGAAGTTAGGAGGAAAAGGAAAACCTTCCAAGAAAAAAAAAAAAAGAAAATGCCTTCAGTTCTTTATAAGCTGAAGGCCAAAAGAAGATAGAGCTCAGGAATCCAGGAGATAGGTCAGCCTAGTCCAAGAACTGGAATCGTCAGACCCATGACAAAAAAACAAAACAAAACAAAAAACAAAAACAAAAACAAAAAAACCCCCCAAAAAACTCTGAAAAATAAGCAGAATGAAAGGCTAAACATGAGGAAAAGGTTAGACTTGCTATTTGGACAGTATTCTGGTATTAAGGAAATCAGGGAGGAGGAACACCTTAACTGGACAAGATTGGACTCACTATTGCAAACTCCCTGTATAACATATGTGTGGTTTGCATTCATGCGTAAGAGTGTACACAGCTTCACTGCATTCATCTCTCAGCATTCAACAACCATGCACACAGCACCTAGTAAGTGCTAGGGACTCTGCTAGATGCTGGGAGTTCCACATTGGCCACATTTGGTCCTTGCTCTCAGGCCTACCATCCAGCCGGGGAGGCAGCACTCTGAGACCAGAAATGGTGCAGCATTCTGACCACTTAATTAATTCAAAACATTCTCATTCTCATTTTGAGGACATTATTCCATCTAATTATTTTTTTTTCCAGTCTGTCCATTTGGAATGAAAAACAAAAGAATAAAGCGTAATGCCAGTATTTCTCAATACCTCTCAAAAAAAATGTAACTCTGCACTAAATAAAGCCTGGTAATTCAAAAGCAAAGCACTAATATATTCAGCATAAAACAGACAGAGGACCTAGAGCAATAATGACAACACTAATAACTAAAACAGTTATAACAATTAACAACAATTACAATGATGGAGAAGCTAATGGGTATGATCACGGCTTTTAAATTGCTAGCAGAGCTGAGGAATTTTACTAGAGAAAAAAAAAGGGGGGGGGGCGCGACAGCATCTTATTTTCTTTATCTCATGTAAGAGAAGCTAAGCTCCAGTAAACAAAATGTCATAGAAAAAAGAGCAAATACTCAATTCAAAAAAAAAAAGAAAAAGAAAAGAAAAGAAAAAAGAGCAACAAAGTTAAAAAAATATTGTTTTTCAATCTTTTCTAGGTATTTACTGCAAAGCATTTGTCATTCCACACCAAGTTCTTCATAACCAGTGATAGTAAGTTCTCCTGTAACGGAAACGAGCCTCTATGATGTGGACAGTTCTAAGGTGAAAGGACCAGGACCCCTTTCTGCCTTCCTTAGGGACAACAGAACGTGACTCTGTTCCTTCCAGAGTTCATAGGTTACCTTGGGCTTTTGTTTGGGGGACGTTGGGTAGTTCTGGAACTCAAGCTGCGACCAAGAGAAAGAGGCTAAAGGCAGGTCCATCTGTGTTTACATTTTCTTGATGAGCAAAAGGACTGTGCCAACAAGGCCTGGCATTGGGTACAACTACATAACGAATTATAGAAAAGAGAAACAGGATGAGAAGACACATAAAGCCAGTCCTTGCTAGAGCCTGGGTTGGTAAGACTTGGACAAAGAAGGCCAAAGCAGTGGCCCATTGGAAAGGGCTTGAAAAGGCCACTATGTTCAGTCCATGAAAGTAGTCTCCGTCTGATACCATGTTAACTAATTCAGAAGGAAACGCATGAAAAAATGTGCCAAGCTCATTAACTATGACTCAGAACAGGAAGAGCAACTGACCAGTACCATTTGCTTGGTTTTATAACTCCTTAATCTTGACTTTTGAAGTTATGATCCTTAATGTTATAACTATGATCTTGAAGTGAGAACACTCACAGATCTAGATTCTCATCTCCCGCGCTCCTTTTATTGGGCCAGAATTGTAGCTGGCTGATAATTAACTCATGTGTGGTCTTGGGAAATAAGCTTAAAAAGTAAGAGCTGCAAATACCTCTGTGGCTTCCCTCTGTTTCTTTTGTGGAATAGTTCACCCCACTGGCGGGCACCAAAGTGAACAGAATGCCTCAGGGATGGAATGCTCGTCAGTGACCATTTTTCTCTCCTGCAGAAACTACTAAACATGGGCTCCTCCTTGGCTGAGTTCGCCCACAATTTCAGAGTGAAAATAAACTGTTTCAAGATCTCCCTTGGTCAGAGGTTTGATGTATCTAAGGATGATTTGTGTTGCTGTCTCTGCTTTTTATTTATTTATTATTATTACTAGAGGCCTGGTGCACGAAATTCGTGCATGGGTAGGGTCCCTAAGCCTGGCCAGTGATCAGGACCTATCGGGGCCTTCCAGCTGCTGGCTGGAGCCTTCCTTCCCCGGCTGCTGGCTGCCGGCCCGGGCCTTCCTTCGTTCTGCACTGCCCCCTCGTGGTCAGCGCACATCATAGCGAGAGATCAAACTCCCGGTCTCCTGGTTGAACTCTCAAGGGAACAATTTGCATATTAGGCTTTTATATATATAGATTTTTGTTAATCCTCATCTGAGGATATTTTCCCATTGATTTTTAGGGAGAGTGAAAAAGAGAGGGAAAGAAAGAGAAACAGCAATGTGGGAGAAACACATCAATTGGTTGCCTCTTGCATGAGCCCAGACCAGGCCAGGGAAGAGCCTGCAACCAAGGTATGTGCCATTGACTGGAATTGAACCCGGGACCCTCTGGTCTGTAGGCTGACCACTGAGCCCAATCAGCTAGGGCTCCATCCCTGCTTTTTATTTGACATGGCAACCCAAGCAAATGGCCAGTAGTTTTCATATAAACAACACAGAATGAGCTTTATTTCTGGTTACCTGGACACTGCCTTCTCATGATAGGAAAGGGAGATAAACTCATCACTGAAGACACTTAGTGTTAGCCTGTTAGGCTGATGGGTTAGAATTTAGTGAACATCTGAGGTGTTGAAGAGTCACTCATTAAAATAACCCTGTTACTAACAGTCATGCTGTAAACCAAGCTCTTTATAGATTGGACAATCAATACTACAAGGCTGTGATAGATTTTCTAGGTAACAGAATAAAATAAAAGAAATTACGTCTTCCAGGGTCATTAACACCCAATAAGGATAAACTGAATTCCTTTTCCCCTCCTCTTCAGATACGATCTAGTTGGGCTTTAAAAATGTTAGCAATTCCATTAGGGGAAAGCGCAGCATTGGGGGGGGGGGGTTATCCCTGGAATGGTAGAGAAAACGGGTTTTAAAGGTAACCCTGCTAACCACAGTATCTTTTAGGAGAAAAGACTTTTTCCCCCCCTCAAAAGGCATGTGTCACCTGAGAAAAAACGAAAATGAACCAAACTTGTGTAGCGTGTAAAACTAAGCGAGCCCAACTTGTGTAGCTTGTCTATTACATAGGAATTCACATTGTCATAGAGTTCGGTGCCTTTCACAGGCTTCCGTGGGGCTGCCTACCCTTCCTCCGGACCTTCATATTTAACTGTTATAACACTAAGCGATGGCATTTGGATGTTACATATGTGTTGCTGTTGCTACAGCTCCTTTGGAGAAAAGGCACTACATAAATTTAATAAATAAATAAGTAAACACAAATAATAAAAATTCCTGCCTCAGATTCTGCAGAGAGCGCGCAAAGCCTTCCTCTGTTTTTTTTTTAATCACTAAGTCACCAATCATTATAACTGGTGGGAAGTATAAACCATAGAAACATATTTAGAGCTCACTACACATTAACAACACCTATTTTGGAGGCAGGAAGCATGAAGAACAAAAGGTTTTTTTTTTTAATATATAAAAAAAACCTACTTGAATTATAGCTGCTGAAACAGGAAATAAATCTCCCTCAACCCTGCCCCTCCCTACCCGCAAATAGAACCTTATAAAGAGAGGCAGAAGGAGGAAGTGAGACGAAGGAGGAGTCTGAAACGGAATTTTTAGACTTTTGCCAGAAGCCTGCTGCTTCCTGAATGAAGTTTACTATCAAGTTGGCCACAGGGAGCTTCCAGGTCTCCCACCCTCGCTGCCCACATGAAGTGTTTCCTTCCTGCTCTGGTGATGGAAACTAGAGGAGAAAAGGCATACGTGGGGCACGGGCTGGTCAGGAAACAGATTTTCTGTTGGAAGTCTGTACGGCAAGTGGGAAACAGTAGGGGGACAGGTTTCAGAATGGACTAAGTCACGTGTTCTTATGAGGCACTTACTTGAAGCTACGCTAACACTCCTGCCTCATACTCGCCTCTGTTCTTTCTTTCTCTCCTGCTTTGGCACATGACTCTCTGCTGTCTCTTCTCCTCCTTGGGAGAAGTTGGATATTTATGAAGTTGGGTCCTTCACTAACACCTGTTACATATTCGCTTTCTGTAGGGAATGAACCAAGGAAAGGGGTTTTGCTGAATGGATAAAGAGGAGAAGAAAAGTCACAAGGAAAGGCAGAGAGAAGAGAAGGAGGAAAAAAAAATTAGAACAGAGAATTGGAGAGGGAGCAGGGAGGGGAAGAGGAAAATAATTCCTAGGCTTAAGACTCATAGAATCTCTAAGAAGAAAAAAATCAGCCACAATTTAGGCTTTGCTGATGGAATGAAATGTCCTTGAGGTGGCCCCTGCATCACACATTCCTTTACTGACGATGACAGAATAGGTCCTCGGTCCACTTAAGGAGGCTTTAGAGGGGCACCTGACCTTAGGAAGGATGGGCTCACTAAGAGCCTGAAGCATGGTTAACAGTCCGAGATGAATCAGATGTGATTTTGTATTCAACAAACCTGTTACATATTCATTTCCAAATGTGCCTGGAATCTAACCGGGCCATCAGGAGTCAGCATCACCAAGCGATGCTATCCTTCAGCCCACGTTCACTTTTCAGGTCTGACACATTTCCATTCCCCCCTGAACCTGCAATCTCCGGGCCTCTCGGGGAGGGGACATTCCCACTCTTTCCATTCTCAATCCTCCGATCTCTTCGAGATGAGGCAATTCTATTTCCCCCGTACTGATTTCAGAAATACTGATAGGAAAAAATAAATATCTGGGTTGGCTTCCTTTTTCTCTAGGAGAAATCCTAACTGTTCTGGGAACATTAATTAAAACGAATGGGTGGCTGCTTTTAGAGGTAAGATATTTCCCTCTCCAGTCATCTTATTTGGGGCTTCTGAGATCGACACACCAGTATCTTCTTAATTAGTGAGTCCAGTAATATAAGGAAGGTGCTTTCTCTGGCCGGAAGCCCAGTGTCCTACCCAGGGCCTGTACACGTATGGAGCTCTCATACCTCTTTTCTGTCCAGCGCCACTCTCGTCCTCTTCTAGGTCGAGATCTTCATCTGAGGGGACACACATCGTCAGCATTAGCAGTTAATGGTCTTGTGTTTTTTATACCTCTGAACTCATCACGCTCTCTTCCTTAAGGAAATAATTACCATGTACTTTTTTTTTTAAAATCACCTCTTACCTTCAAACAGGCCCTCTCATCTTCCCTCCCTGTTCATTCATTCACAAACATTTTAAAGTGCTTACTATATGCAAGGCACTGCACTAGGAACCGGCCAAGCCTGGCAGGATCCCTGGCAATCCACTGGATTATTTAGGTGCCTATCACTAAGACCCGGTCCTTTTCCTAAAATCCCATTGCTTCTCCCCTTCTGGAATTCTCTTCAAAATGTAGCATCTCCATGTGAATGTCCAGACTTAGTGTGCGTGTGTGTGTGTGTGTGTGTCTGTGTGTGTGTGTGTGTGTCTGTGTGTGTGTGTGTGTGTGTCTGTGTGTGTGTGTGTAGGGGGCCTGCACACACACAAGCATGTGAGGCTGAGCACGTGTTTAAAACCTCGGTGATTAATTAGTCCTTAATGTATCAGGCTTTGTTCAGCTGTAACAAAAGCTGGTCATGTACATAAATTTATGTTCCTGGTACTTGGGGCTTGTCGTTATCTTTTTACTGGTCTTATTCAGCCTGCCTCGTTCACTAGAGTGTAAGCTCCTGAGGGCAGTTGGGATGGCCTTTTAATTAATTGCTACACGTACACAATGGGTTCTAAGCCAGTGCTATTGTCTAAGTCCAGTCAAGTGTTTCTATGGTCAAAGTCACAACATGATTGGCCTGTGTTTCTGATCCTCATTAACCTGTTTCATCTCAGACTTCATACTACCTGATAACATTGGGCCTTTATAAAGAAAGCATGAGTCCTTACACACACACACACACACACACACACACACACACACACACACACACACTGAATGGGGCATAATAAGTAACATTTTGAGGGCTGAACACTTAAGTTTCTCCTGTCTACATTTCCTTTCCTTTCTCCTTCTGGGTCTTACAGAGCACTTACCCCTCTTGCTTTCCCATAGTTATGCCACTGAATGGAACTGTTTGAGGAGATGGCTTTTTCAAAATATAAGGTTTTAGGGCAATATGAATTCTGATATGTCAGACTGGGGGAAATAAACTCTAAGCTCATAAGAAGAAATAGCATAAACATAGTTTAGACCATTAAAGAAATAATTGGTTTCACATACAAAATGATACAATTTCCCGGCAAAAATAAAAAAGGAAGGGATTGATCAATACTCTGGAGAAATAAGTAACCTATTATCAAGGTAAAAAATTAGCATATGTATGTATATATATATGTGTGTATATATATATATATTTACCCTATAAGATACTTTGACTCAATTCTTCTTATCTCCATGTATGACCAAGTAGCAGAACTTTCCTAGTGCCACCTGTAGTGCTCCCCACACCCCGCCATTAGGAATAAAGACGTGAGATATTGGAAGAGTGAAATCAAATATCAGAAATAGATGGTGACAAAATAAGTCACGTTAAACATCATTCTCTGCACACTGACTTATTACTTGCCCACTCCCTTCCTTCTCTGCTATGAGGCTCTTGCTTTTTGACACGGGACTCATTTCACAGGATTGAAAACAACTCTTAGAAGAAGAGTTGGAACACCCTCGGTGTTAGAGATGCACAATAATTTGGACAGAGAGCAGCTCTTTTGCTGCTATCAGGCAACTCAGTCACAAAGCTCAGTAATCTGCTGTGCTTAGGCACTTTTGCAGAGCGCGTTTATCCTACCTCTGCTCTCTGTGCGCAGATGTCTCTTCCTCCCAATTCTAATCAATGTAAATTGGGTCAGATCTCCGCTGTGAATTACAAATTGGATCCGAAGTTGGAGGGTCACCGTGCCTGCTACTCCACCTCCTTCCCACCACCATTAGATGGGAAGCTACACCGAAGATCTTTTCTAAATAAATCAGACTTTATTGTAAACTCGGCCACTGACGAGACATAACCTCATTAGCATTGATTTTAAAATAAATTATTGAAAGTGGCTTGCCTGCTCTTTGCATTTGTAAAATAGGAGAATGTAAATGTATTTGCAATGATAAAAATGAAAACTAAAATTTGATTCCTTTATCCTTTCAGGCAACAGCACTTAATCTAGTCATGAAACGAGAATGGGGAAAAAATAAAAATCTGTTCTGTGCGGTTCCATTCCAGACCAGATACTCTGATTCCCATTGTGCCCGTGGAGTCACCGAGAAAGCAAGCAGGAAGCTGGCCATAGATCTTCTGTCTCATTCCCCACCATGGCTGAGCTCTGCGGTGATGGGTGTGAAGGGGGAAGCCCCCATCCCCATCTCTGTCCTATCTAACGCTGTCCTTCCCGGGTGGCTGAAAGTGGGCTCAAGTCAAGAAGCCCCGCTGCTGATGGGAGAAGCTGGGTGCTGTGTCTCTGTGGCTTTTTCAGCGAGTCTGGGGGCCCCACCCCACAGCGAAGGAAAGTGCCCTCCACAGCTATCAGTGAAGGTCACACCTCTTAGCACCTTTGCAGCTTTAGAGGGCACGATATAAACAGAGAGGCATACATTTCATCTCACATCCTTCAATGAAATCAAATTGCTACGTTTTGAACCCCAAAACCAAGAAAACCGATGATATGGCAGCAGGAGTATATGCTCACAGAAGAGAGTGGGTTAAACTGCCCAATTTCTCATTTTTTATTCATCTGTCAGGTGAGGTTTTAATTTTAAAGATATTATTTAAAAATATTTTTTTAGGCTAAAGACCTTATTGTACTTCTTTAGAAGAATACTACTAGGCATCTTAGCATTACATCTACTGAAATACATCTTCATTTAAGAGAGAATGAAAATTTATGTGCTAGCTCAACTTTAAACAGTGGTAGATGATAATGGTGCTGGCTCTTAACAGGGCGTATGGGACCCCAACCTTACATAGGTTTTAAACAAATTAACCTCCAAAGATTATTGTCCACTTATTACATTAAATGCTCTACTTGATTCCCAAATATCTCATCTCAACTGGGAAAACAGTTGAGGAAGATCCTGTTAACGGTGTGAACATGTGAGAGAGCCACGGGGCGTCACAAATGAGCACCAGTATCCAGAGAGTTGGTTTCAATCAACGCTCTTGGCACAATGTCAGGGGCGCTGAGGAGAGGCTGAAAGGAACGGGACACCGACGCCACTTGGGAGGCACAGAGAGGAGCCAGCTTCCCATGACACCTGGCTCCTTCCTGAAGTGCCGCCCTGACACTGGCCCAACC